ACGGTCTTGAGGGTAGTGTACACGGGCGGTGATACTATCTTAGTGTAGTATAACCCTGTGTCAAACGAAGGAAGCCTTTCGATAACATGTTTACCACCTGCATCCCGCTTTGTGATGAGTAGGCACTCCTTGCCGTTTTCATCATCGGTCTCAACATGGAAACCATTAGTGCGGATGTCTCTAAAGCTCAAAAGAGTATGAGTCGACTCCGGGTACAACAACGCATCATTAATGATCAAAGTTGTTCCCATAGGGAGTATAATAGTGGCTCGTCCGGAGCCAACTATGTGAGAACCGCAGCCGGCGATTGTCATAATACTTCCCAGAGATTTTTTAATGGACTCAAAGTACTTAGTTTCTCGTAAAATGGTATGAGTGGTGGTGCTATTGGCAAGGCACGTTTCCTCCATTCAGGCGTTGCACGCGTTCTAAAATATGACATCTAATTAATGTAATGAGGAAGAAAATACATTAAAAATAAATGCACACATCTCAGAACATAACCTGCTATCATGTATAAATAATGGAATAAATAAATGAAATAAATGTCATCCAATCGCCAAAGTAAAGAATAAGTTTATGCTCTCATAGAGCTTACAACCAAATCAAATTTATTGTATCAAATCAAATTTATTGTATCAAATCACGAAATCATGATAACCAAAGAGGTATGCTAAGTGGACTCGGTAAAGAAACCAATCACTTCAGCCACAATCTCCATACTAGTGAGTTGATCCTCCTTAGAAATCATCTTGGAAGCAGCATCAATGTCTAGTGGCGGCACCACTGAGGCGACCATGTGGTCAACCTCCATGGCGACGTGAGCGTCGGTAGAGACCGCCAAAGCTGCCGCGATGGGCACCACGGGGGTCGCCTCTATGGGTGCGGCAGGGGGCGTAGAGATCATCACGGGTGCCGCTATGGGGCGCCGGTGGTGCTTCCTCCTGAACCAAGGCGAGGTGCGTCTCACGCGCCTTCCGAGCCTTGTCTGCTTCAACGACCTCCGGTGGTGCGCGACACTGGCGGGAGAAATGCTCCACCGAGCCACAATGAAAGCAGTCCTGAGGCCTCTGCCCTCCCTTGCTCGGCTTGTGCTGCTTAGCCGGGGCGGGGGGTGAGGGCCCTTCTTCTTGCCCTTGCGGCTCCTCTTCTTCTGTTGAGGCTTGCGGACTTTGAGAGCGTTCACCTCCTAGCAAGAACTCCCCCCCCCCCAACAAGTGGTTGCGTGACAAAGTTCTTTTTGAGAACCTTGTCCTGTGCCTCCGCCACCTGGAGGGCGTCAATCAACTCTGAATACCTTGTGTAGTTCCCCTGGCGGTAGTTCCGTGCGGACTGGACCGCGTCGGGTTGGAAAGTGGATAGGGTTTTCTCAATCTTCCAGGTGTCGGTAATCTCAGTACCACACAACCGAAGAGTCATACAAATCCGATGCAAAGCCGAATTATACTCCCCAACCGTCTTGAAGTCCGCAAACCTCAGACAGATCCACTCTGCCTCCGCACATGGCTTCACAGTGTACTTTAGCCGCTCAAACCGCTGCTTAAGAGCGGTCCAAAGGCCAGAAGCACTGCGCTCAGCCATATACTCATCTTTTAGAGTAGGTGACAGGTGATGACGGAGAAAGTGCAGAGCCTGCGCATTCTCAGTTTTGAACTTGGGATCGGTGGGGGGCAGCTGGGCCCCCTTACCGATCGCCCTCAGGACTCAGGAGGGTTTTTCCCTCGAGAAAGATCTCGCAGTTCGAGGACCATGATAGGTAATTCAGCCCTGTCTAGGCCAACTCAGGAAACTCCTTGTTGACAATTCCGGCCATGTGTGATTTATGCAAAAATCATGAGATTACAGCAGGTAATCTTTTGCACAAAGCGATGTTGATAAACTTATTCAATAAAAATGATGTTCCATTATTTAAAACATGTTCTTATATGACTTACTTAATGATTAAGAGTGCAAAACAATTAATCTACAGTAGTAAAATCATACAATAAAACATGTTTACAAAATATAGCATGTTAACCGCATTTCGTACGTGAAAAATAGCCCAAAAAGTGAATTCCCGAGGCATTTTAAAGCCCAAATACGCGTTTTTAGAGAAAACAGACAATTCTAGGGGCTTCTACGTGAAATAGTACTGCAGGAATAAAAACTCACGTAAAAACTGGAAACTACAGGGGCTAAACCGCAATTTTCCTTGCTGCAGCCGACGCCACTTTTTTTATTGCAGGGTCTCCACGGCCGCGGCCCATCAGGGCCCAGCAGCCAGCAGGCCGGCCCAGGCGCTGCGCGGCCTTTCCCGCAGCGACGCTAGGGGAAACCCTAGCGCTCGCATCGTGGGTGCGGCGGCGGCCAGGGGCTGGCTAGCTCGCATGGCCACGGCTGGCGCCACCCGACGGCGGCCAAGGCACGCGGCGGCAGCGGCCAAGCCGGCCAGCGGCGTGGCCACGGCGCGGCGCGGCCAGCGCGACTGCGGCGGCTACAGCGCGCGGCCACTGCGGCTACGGCCACAGCGTGCGGCCACGGCGCGTAGGCAGCGGCGACCTGCAGTGGGCACGCGGCGGCGCGGCGGCACGAGCGTGCAGTGGGCACGCGCCCGCGGCTGCGGGTGGCGGCCAGCGGGGTGGGCTGCGCGCGAGCATGCGCCAGCAGGGCGCGACGGCGATGAGCCGGCCAGCGGGACGGCGACGGCGGCGGCGGCGTCAGCAGGACGCGGCGCTTCACGCGCGACCAGCGTGGTCGCAGACAGCACGGCGTCATCTGGACGCCGCCCTCGGGATGCGGATCTTCCGTCGCGTTCATCCGGAACTCCGACGGCGCATGGCACGTCTGGTGCTTTTGCGGCGGTACCGCGACCATCTGGATCGCGATCTGTACCGACTCCCTATAGTGCAGTCAACAAGTTCCTCTTAGTCTAAGAACATCTACATTGGTCGGCGACATGTTCGTCCGCTCAGTTTTTGGGAGGAAAATCCACACCATAGGTAGATTAAATCCGAAAAATAACCTAATCGCAAAAACAGAATTGCAGTAACAAGAGGAATCCATTTTTTGCAAAAGTGAAGATCGGATCTTATACCTCCGCGGGATCGACGAAAGCCTGCATGATGCAGGCGTGACGCAGACTTGACGGAGAGTTGATGGAGCGGAGCGTGCTGATAACGTGTTCTGCAACTCCGCCGGCGAGTTCGGTCCGAGGTTGCGGAGCGAGAGCGGGCGTCGTAGACGAAGTAGTCGAAGACGCGAAAGTAAATGACACAGAGAGATATGAAGGAGACCAGCTTTATTAATCAATGATCAGATGTTACAATAATAGCTTCTTGTTGCTTTATATAGGAGGTAGAGTCAAAGGATAAGTACCCACTTAAAACGGAAGGGGCTAGCCCGTGCGATACGCACGAGGCCGCCGCCACCTCTCGGTTGGCCCGGTTTCCCAACAGGAACTTTGAACTGCGTAGCTTTGTTGGAGCCATCAAGCTGGTCGTGGCCTACGTGCCCTGCTGGAAGGACGACCTAGTGGCCCGGTCAGGAATTGAAATGATGACGTCGTTTATATATTTTTGCACGTGGTTTTCGTGCGGTATCGGTTCTTGCAGCATGCATGCAGCTAGTTCTACGGTGGTACTAATAGAAAACCGTAACAGTCTGCAATCTTTCACTAGCGAAGCATGGGACGAAGCTAGAAAAAAAATCCCTATAACGTCAGCTCTATACACAATGGGGTCATCTTGACAAAAGTAAAACTTCTAGTGCTTAAAGCTAAATTAGTGAAGGATTTTAGAAAAAAAAATCAATGGTGTCAGCTGACACAAATGCTATAGAGGTGAAGAGTATGTTTTTCTTTGTGGATATAAACCGATCTTGTGCAGCTGGAGCATATATGTGGAAGTATTCACGAGCGTATTATAACATTGTTGATTGATCTGCCCTCGCAAAAAAAAAAAACTGATGGTTGATCTGCCAGAAAACAATTCAGTAGGTACGTACGCACTCACATTGGACTTGAAAGTTGGTGCAAAAACCATTACTAGTTAGATTATCTAGAGAGCTTTTAGATTAATGGTCAGCTGATGCTGAGCTAACTACCCTGCAAATAAAAGATTATGAGTATAGCTGAGACGTGAGAGCGAGAACACAAGCATATACTCAACTTATGATTAACAAACAAGCCAAGCCGTTAACCGGGGAAGAAAACAAGCGCGCACGTAGGCGAAACTCCCGGCGGCCCATAGTCCTACACCAACGGCCGCCGGTCCAGCTCCAGCACATGCGGCCACCCATGCATGCCCGAATATTTTCCCTGCCCGAATTACACTCCCGTCCCCGTCGTGGTAATACCGCCCTACATTTTCCTTTGGCAAATACGTACTCCCTCCGTTCGAAAATATTTGTCATCAAAATAAATAAAAGCTATGTATCTAGATGTATTTTAGTTCTAGATACATCTTTTTTTGTCCATTTTGATGACAAGTATTTTATTTTCGGACGGAGGGAGTATTTGGTAATTACTCGTGTTTTCTATCTCTAGAACAGATTGAGTGTGATATAATGTTTCTACAGGCACGTGCACCAAGGTGAAGAATTGTTCAGATCAAAAAAGTTACCGAGTCGAGGAGTACCTTTTACCACACGCAGAAGAATTGATCAGATCATGAGTCTAAGCCGTACGGTAGCTTCCAGGCAGCTGGCTGTCACCTTCAACGACGCGTATGCACTGCATACATACGGCTACGTCGGGCCAATGGAGCACCGCTTTGACTTGGCGGCTAATTTTCCCGGTCTAGTGGTTATCGCCAATCAAACGCGGCTGGGTTAATTTACACGCTGAACTGTTCGGGACAGCACACGCATTCCTACCCATCTCCGCCCGGCCACGATCGACCTATATATAAGCACCCAAGCTTGCTCATTCCCGGTACAAAACAACAGCTAGCTGGCCATCGAGATCACCAACGCACGTACAGAGACCTCATCACGTCTTTCCAGTTCACAGGCCGTTGTCAAGAATGAAGGTGAAGCCCGGCACGGAGCCAGCCACCGGCGTCCCCGTCGGCGGCGCACCCGGCGCCCCTACCGCCTGGTCCTCCACCGGCGTCCCCGTCGGCGGCGCACCCGGCGCCCCCACCGCCTGGTCCTCCGGCCTCTTCGACTGCTTCGACGACTGCGGCCTCTGTACGCCCGCGCACACCATCTTCCTCCACGATACATGTCTTGATCGCCATGAAACATACTCATATCTGAATCTAATACATGTACTATATGATTTGGATGCAGGTTGCTTGACTTGCTGCTGCCCGTGCATCACGTTCGGCAAGGTAGCGGAGATCGTGGACCGGGGTGCTACGTCGTGCGGGACGAGCGGCGCGCTCTACGTGCTGCTGGCGTCGCTCACGGGGTGCCACTGGATCTACTCCTGCACCTACCGCTCCAAGATGCGCGCCCAGTACGCGCTCCCGGACGCGCCCTGCTGCGACTGCTGCGTGCACTACTGCTGCGAGCCCTGCGCGCTCGTCCAGGAGTACAAGGAGCTCAAGGCCCGCGGCTACGACCCCGAGATCGGCTGGCACCTCAACGTCGAGCGCCGCAACGGCGGCGCCGGGGCCGGCGGCGTCAACCCGCCCGGCATGCAGGAGATGGGCCGCTGATCGAACCCGGCTGCTCAATGCCTTGCTCTACGTCTACGTGTGAAGGGAGTATCCATCGAACAAGTCTTCCTTCGTGCTTGGTTTCAGTTCATAATGTGATGTCAGGACCAGAAACGTGTGTATTTTTTTTCTTTGCGATGGCAGAACGTGTGTATGTTAATGTCGCTCTGCATTTCATCATTGTATTTCTATGGCTGGCCACCGGCCGGCCGGCCTCCGGTTTTGAATAAAAATTCGTGTTTGCTATTGCTTATACTACTACAACTGAATAATAATAAGAATTTCAACCGATTCTATAGAGAAGACGAATGCGCAACCCCGTGCTCACGGGGACCGTGGTGTCTCATCGCTAGAGGAGAGTAAGAGCATCTCCACCCGCGTCCCTAAGAGGCCCTCCCCGTCATTTTTTTCGCGCCGGCGCCGAAGAAACGCCCCAATCGCGCCCCCAGGACGCCGAATTCTGCCGGCTCGGCCTGTTTTTGCGCCGATCGCAGGCCGAACCTGGCGCACTGGGGGGCGCTCAGGGGCTTCGGCGCAAGGGAAAAGCGCTCCTGGGGCCACATTGTCAGGCGAAAAGTCAAGACACCCGCCCAGATTCGCCTCCGAC